ACCCATGATCATGTTTAATACGGGAGATATAACTCTCTGTTGGAGCATAACTTCGCCAAAAAATATTTGATACAGCGCTGTAATTTAGACACTTAAAGATCGTTTTAATTCATTCTTTTAAGCCTGCACTATTACTTATCAATATAAAGATAAAACCATTTTGAAAATTTTCGTAATACTAACAGTACTAGGCACTAAGGGATCCAGGATTTAATTTTGGTGAGCGGCTGCAGCCCGAATTTCTTTTTTTTTTTTTTTTTTATAAATATGTAACGATAATGACTTAGGAAAAAAGAAAGAAACTAACTACTGAAATGTTACCTTTTGGGATTTTAAAATGTATTCGGGATGCCACTGGATAATTATTGAGAATAATTACCCAGAATTATTTAATAATAAAAAATAGTAAAATAAATTTAGATCTATAATATATTGATTGGCCCAGAATTAATTAATTGGATTTCTTTTATCAATGGCTGGTTTGTGTTGATCATGCTTTATATGGGTGGCAGAATTAAAACAACTTAATTTATTTTTATGCTTAATAGAGAATATATACAAATTATATTTACAAGAATTAAAAATTATAGTTACAAGAATCAATGAATTCATCAATTAACTGTGATGATTTCAGATGGACTGTTTTGAAATTTATATTGCCATAAAATATTCTAACATTAGGGTTGGGAATAAAACTTATCTATTGCATATACCGTGTTGTAGTTGGTAGATTCCATCACTGCATCTGCTGATCTGAGGTCATCTCGTATGTTTCAAAGCTCTTCCAGGATCTTCATGGTCTATGTGTAGGGCCAAGGCTTCAGTCCCCAAGCCGGAAGAAGACATAAGACCTATCCTCAAGGCCGGATCTCTACACCAGACATCTCTTCAGGGCCGGCTCTCCACATCAGACCCCTCCTCCATGCATCTCAGTAGATTTTATAGAAATATTCAGGGTGGGCCAAGAATGGTTCTCATTGGTTGAATTTTAGTAGCATAAGGGATGACCACGCCTCCAGGTCTTACGGCTGTTTCCTCTTTCTCTAAGGTTTTTCTGTCCTCCCTTGCTTAGACAAGCCTTTCGGTCATCTCCAAACATGTCCACGTAAGACCGGTGTCGGTCCTTTAGTGTTTATTGCCCCTGCTAAAATATTGCATTCCCTGGGGCGTCTTTACTGTCCCTCAGGTAACAGAACATGTGTTACCAATTCTTATTTAGACTTTATTTATTCATTTGAAATAATTAAATATATTCCAAATGTGGTCCTTACTTACAATACATAGCACTACCTGTATGAAATGATTTTTAAGTGAGTGTTGAAGTCCTACTAACTGTAATTAGACGAACAATAATACTTTTAAAGATAATGTTTTTCATAAAACATGGTTATATTTTACCATTTTGGGAGAGGTTTCATCCCGAAAGTCCTCTCCTTCCCTCCGTAGGTCCGCCCCTGCTACTAGGCCAGAACACCTAAAATTAGTATCTAAGGTCAAAATATTATTTTTAAAAAAGTATTTGAAATTATTATACAAGTGCAAGCCTATTAAGAATTAAAATAATAGTCCGTGGTACAGACCCGTTTTTATCAAATTATTAACATCCGGCTGAAACTTCGTAAATAGCTTCATCTCATCGTAACCTACAAATATTTTATTTACGAAAATTCTAGGAATTGGGGCGTTTTCAATCTGGAGATCGGCAAACTTTGTCTATTTAATTAGGTATTAAAAACTCGTGAATACCCATTTGATTTCCACTTGAATCGTAAGATAACTTGAGCACAAAGTCGAGAAAAAAGGTGGCCTTCAAAAATATAAGCGTGACCTACACCCAAAAATTGTCAAAGTAACGAGGTTATATAAGCCAAACGGCCCAATATTTTTGTAGGTCATCTTTTTTTTCGATTTTATTATCAAAACATCTTACGGTCCAAGTGGAAAGCAAATGGGTATTTATTAGTTTTAGTACCTAATTATAGATAGACTAAATAGAGAAAGTTTGCCGACTTCTAGATTGAAAACGCCCCAATTCTGAGGATTTTCGTAAATAAAATATTTGTAGGTTACGATGAGATGAAGCTATTTACGACATTTTAGCCGGATGTTAATAATTTGACAACAAGGGGTCTGTACCACGGACTATAAGCACTAACGGATCCAGGATTTAATTTTGGGGGTGGCTTCAGCCCGAAAGATTTTTTTTGTAGGTATATATTACAATAATTACTTCGGAAGCGAGAAAGAAACTAAGTACCTATATAAAATGGTGTTAAAGTAATTCTTAAGTACATGGTTATATTTTACCATTATGGAGGGAGCTTCAGCCCAAAAATCCCGATCCGCCTGTAATTATAAGTATCCAAATTATATAAAAAAAACATTGTCTCGACTGTTTTTAGAATTCGATTTTAAATACAAGTAGCTATTTGTTGAGAGTCATGAGGAATTAAAAATATAATATACCGTCAAAATTTGATATAACAATAAAATATTTTGACGCGAAGATATTCAATACGCAATCCATTTAAGAACTTATCTTAAACGAATCTTGTGCAATTATTGCCTTTTGTTTGCAGACGGAAATGGATGGTACGATTTTTTGTGGACTCTACCCCAGGATATAATGAAATAATCATTTTATTTTTCTATTCTATTATATTTTTATTATTTTTTTTTTTTGCGTATTATGATTTATTTTCTAGTTTCGCAAAATGATAAACTGGATATGATGAATTATCTTTTTTTTTTTTTTTTTAACGGGTATATCGAATTCATAAAAATTTAAATTAAAGAAAAGTGAGAAATTAAATATCTGAAGATATTAAATATTCACTTAAAAATATGAAACAATGCCAGTAATTGTGAAAATTACAGGTGTGTTGAAATAGATATAAAAGGCAGTTTTTTCTTTTTTTCAATTTTCTTACCATTCCTGAAAGTTATCACAAGTCAGCACCGACATTTATTAATAGTTAATGGTATTACCTGGCAGCATCATTGCATGGATATTCGTTTTTTATTATTTATAAGAATATAAAAATGTGAAATTCACGAAAAATAAATAAATTTTTACATTTTATTAAGATGTTTTTTTTTTAGAAATTTACTATCCAATGATTCAAAACTGAAATATAGATAGTAAAAAAAATAATAAAAAGTTTAAAAAAATAAAAACAGCAGAAAATTGTTATCTGAGTGAAAAAGTATATTCGAGAAATATAACAACGATTATTATTAGCATTTTGAATTAATAAAACATTGTCCCTATCAGTGAGGCATTAACATGATATTCACAGGTATTAGCAATCAGTCTGGGTCTGGATCTTGGTCTTGTACAAGAGTCTGGCAACAGTCTTGCAGTTACCTATTAGCTTATTACTATAGAGATATCAAGTAATTGTTTAGATAGGAGAAACTTAACTTAGCCTGAATACAAAATTACGAGAGTTAAATGCAATAATATATTGGTTATACCAATTTTATATATATATAACTATAATTGTCAAGTATTAGTAACTATTTTGTCTCTAAATGTTATGAAAGCAATATTATTGTTACCGGAAGTGACACTTTATATCATAGATATTCTCGAAAAGGGTCTAATGATTTTTATAAAACTCGATAGGTCATTGTAAAATTAAATGGTTTACATTATCAGATAAGCCTGATCCTTATTGATGTATTTGGCCTAATTTTCAAAATGACATTTTCCAAAGTACAGTTAGTATGCTCTATTTGAAACAAATAACAGTCAGTAAATAAAACAGTTTCTGGTAATAAGAAAAGGCTAAATATAAACTTTGTTAGAATTTGTTAATTAATAAAAGGAGAAAAAATGAGGTTTTTTTTTCCAAGATTGAGAATAAATTTTCAGAAATAATACTAGTAATCTATCACGTATTTATAACATATCATTGGAAAACCAAGGTCGTAGAAGATAATGGAGAGTGACATAAACAAATATTAATAATAATTACTGAAAACATCTTATTTAGCAGAAAAAAAGTTTTTGTGGAAGCTAAATGATATTTCAAAACCATATGAAAATTTTTAAAATTATTTTTAAGCTTAACAAACTAAAAATAAACAATGCATTAAATTATCGTAGTGGAATTATTCAAAAATTTTGTTTTACAATCATGAGAGAAGTGCATGACGCTGAAAGTATTTCAAGCAATGTTACGATCTATGTGGTGGCATATTTTGATGGGTTTTGAATTTTTGAGGGGTGCAAATTTCAAAAGGGTTATAAATTTTTAGACTGAGGGACAAGGGGAAAACATGGAACAGACCGCAGTTAGTGTAATTGTATATGATCTATGATTTTTCTAATTCTATCTTAGCTTGCTCTGTTTTTAAAAGAGCAATAAAATATCTTCGGAGGAGGGGTGTAGGTTTTTATGCCATCCACCTTGTGAGACATACGCCAGAGGGGCAAGAACTCCAAGACATTCCCTTTCCTTAATCCCTTATTTCTTATGAGCAATTCCACTGAAGACTTCTAAACAATCTCATAAACTTTACTTGTGAGGTACAGATTTATATTCAAGCAAAATTTTGAGTCCTTCCAACTTAATTCATATAGTATTTTTATAAACTATCCTCATTATCCGATAACTCAGTTGTTTAAAAAATCAATTGACCAGAGAAAGTTTTCATTGTTATAGCAATAGCTAACTTTCTATGACAAATGAAAATAAAAGCTAGTTTTCTCACAATAAATTCAGTTGTTTAAGTTGTATATTGTCTTAAAAATCATATTTTGTTTCTATTACATTTATTTTATCAATATAAAATTAATGACCCTTAGGGGTAGAGGCTAAATAAACATATAAAAAAAAAATTAATGTCCGTATGGATTGGTAAGTATGCTGTGTACGAAGCAACCCTATGTAGTAGGGCAGCATTACTTTTAATAAAGTATTTCTCTCTATCCCATCATCATACACTGGAATATTAAAATATGATCAATAATTATATTTTATTTTTCATTTCAGGAATAGAAATTCAATGACAGTCAGAAAAATAGAAAAGGTTGAAGTGGAACTTTAAGATGGAAAGTTCAATGATAAGATGAGTGTGGTTTATATGCTGATAAGGATAAGATTGTGATATGTGTATATAAAAACGTGCTTATAGCTCATATTACCATGGCTTTTTAAAAACTGACATATGTGTCAATCTAAACTAGTTCTTTTTTGAACTTTACAAAGTAGTTGTTTTTAAATTTTACAAATAACTTGAGTAAAATAAGCACTGTTACTGATGTAAATTTCACATAATGTAGTCTCTGTGCCATCAGTATAATTATTATTATTTATTATTAATTATTTACAATCACAGTTTGAGGCCAGATGTTCATAAAATTTTTAAAAAGCACAATATTGTATTTAAAAAATTAAATATTTATTCAATGTTACTCTTATTAATTTCATATGTATGATTCATGTATGTAATGTAAAAGCAATCAATAATCTATTTTGAACTAGAGGTCATATTTCATTTAATAGAGTTATTGCAAATGTATAAACATCTATAGGCAAATAACTTTTGAAAAACCCTATGTGAATGGACCTTCGTCTGTGAGATTAAACCAAAATCTTGTTGATTGTTCCATCTAGAATTTTTTTTTTTGAACATTTTATTTTTTTACAGCCATATGTTCATATTCAAAAGCTGGTTATTACTTCAATAATAAAAAGCTGGCTTGCGAACTGAAACGGTCTCACTTAGGTTGTTTATCTGTGCATATATATATTTTCGTATATACAAAAAAAAGACACACCATTGTAATTTTGAAGAATCCCTGATCATAAAAAAAAATAACTAAATTATTTTTAAGTAGTACATAAATGCAGTATTTCATTATTTGATTAGAAAACTCTCTAATGTACATTATTGTAAATTGTCCAGAATATACATTAGAAGATTTCAAATGAAGTTCTCCTGTGTTGTTTTGGGGTAACTTAAATGTTAAATGAAAACAAATTTGAACTTAAACTTAACAGAATAAGAGCTTCTTCTTAATGTTAGAGATTGGTCTTCGGACCTTGACCAGTTTTAGTTCTTCTTGATAGGTATTGTTTCTTTATATCATTGTTATCATTCTATTACATAAATTAAATGCCTCTTTTTTACTAATACAGTCAATCCGTTCTGAAGTTTATTTTTACATTTTTCATAAGCATATATATATATATCAGTAAGTATATATACAATGGAATAGAATGATCATAAATTCAAATAAATTGTTTTCATAGTCAAAACTTTTGTCTTTAAAAGAAAAGCTTATTTCAGGGTAACATAATTTTTGAGTTTGATATGATAACAGATTTAATAAATTGCTTAATGTTAAAAACTTGTGTAATAATACATTTTAAATTTAATTATTTTAAAAACTAAATTGATTTTAATTCGGTAAATAAGTTCAATTTCAGTTGAAAAATTCATAAAATATTACCACAATATTATATTATACACTCTCATCTGATGTTGATGAAAAATAACTATCACATTATGCAGGTTATTTTTATTTATTTTTTTTTTTTTAATTAAAAAGCAATTGAATGTTACAAAATTACACTAAACAAGTATATAAAAGAGACAAACAAAATAAATCAAAATGATAGTTTAATTGATCGACCAACATTAATTAAAGGGTTTATTTGAGTAAATGTCTATGTTATATTTTTGTAAAATGTACGATTTTATGAATTTGGGTTTTTTGACTGAATTAATTAATTAGTTTTTATAGCATATTTTTAACAATAGGTCATTACAATGCCATCCCGTTATTGATAAATGTTCTAAGTTACTTCAAATCGAATAAGGGTTTCTTGGTTCAACTTTAATTAAGGTATGTACAGACCAAGATAAAAAATGTTAGCAACTTGTTGGAAGTTTTGGATGTTCCTTGGAAACAAGTTGCTCGGATACAGCTTGTTGTTTCTGTAAGTTTTCAACACTGTTGAGCATCCAGGCCTAACACATTTCTGAATTAAAAATTAAAGAAAAACTTCCTGCAGGTGCAATTGTAGCTTTCGTCATTATAGCCAAAAAATGAAATGAAGAAGGTGATAGATAGATTTTTTTTTAAAATGGAAAAGCCATGGCGTCAACTTTATGGCAAAATTACTTTTAAATAATGAAAGCTTGTTCTTCATTTTCATCAGATTATCAAAATTTTATTTTGAAAAGATTCTTTGTTGGAATATTTTATTGACATTAGTTTTTAAATGAGGAATTATTTAAAATAATTCATCAGTTTTTATTAATTATTATTATCAAAATTTATTATTATTATTTATGAAATGGTCAACAGATATACAAGCAATAAAAAACAAATTTCTTTAATGCTATGCCCCATGATGTCTTCCTGTTTCCCACAACATTGATGTTGACAGGATAAATGTGTAACAATATTGAACAATTAAAATATGCGGAAACAAAATGAATACTCTACATTCATTTACATTATATTCCAAACATAAATTGGCCTAATTTTAATGAATATTTAATATTTTTCATAATGACTGTTAACTGATCCTTTAGGTTTTTAGTAAATAAAAAAAGCAACATTATATTCTTTTCAATCACTTAAATAAAATTTATTTAGTAAGATTTGCCTAAAAAATGGGAATAATCTGCTAATTGCATCTTGTTTAACATCATACAAATCCTAAGGCAAACATTAATATGATTGTAACAAATCCGATAGGTGATATTCATAGATCTGGATCATAGAAATGAGTATTATATGCACAGACCATTTTCACAGAATATTTCACTTTTGTTAATTATCTATCAAAAATACTATTAAGAGTAGTAACATTGAATAACATTTATTGAATCTTTCAAAAAATAGAAAAACAACTTTGTATATAATGTAATGAATAATCAATCAGAAAATAATGATAGTTTATTAGCTATAGTTATATATATAGAATACAAGATAATATAAGTATGTATTTTTCTTCTCTGGGAAACATTGTTATTAATCAAACAAGAATTGGCACTGACATAATATGTTGTATTTAATTCTGTTTGTGTATTAATTAAGCTTGTATAGACCTGTAAATATATAACTGTTATAAGACAATGTTCAAATTGTAATAATCATATTTACAAAGTGAATTATTGATGTGTTTTGTATATAGCATTTAATTTACCAAAGATCAAAATTAACATGGTATAGTAGTATATTTATTATTATTGATGTATAGACTGTATACAATTGATTGTTAAATAATTATCATTAAACATGTTTAGTAACATTTAAGTATTGTATGTTAAGTAATTTAAACATAATATTAATTGTAGATGAGGGAAGAGAGTTTGAGAAAATCTGAGCCCCCTAAATTTCTCTGATTCTCCTCTCTTAGTAGTGTAATTTTGTGATAAATAAATAATAAAAAAAAATTAAATGTGTCTATATAAGGTTTATGATAACAGGACTTGTTAAACTGTTATCTTTACCACACGTGGTATTATTACTTCTTACTTACATATGTATATTAATCATAATTTGTGCACAATCTGTTTTATGATGTTCAATAAACTCGTCACAAAATAACTTTTCTTTTTTTGTATAATGTCTTCTAATTATTCTTATTTTAATGAGTAACTAAGTATAAATTATAATTATCTTCAACTTGAATAAAAATATTTAAAAATTGTATAAGTATAAAAGCAATAATTGCTGACAGTACCAATACTTGCATTCCCCTCGAAAAATGGAAATGAAAAGATTTCAGGACCTCTTAGACCTCCATTTCACAAATTTTTAGTTTCTATATTTTCTCCATGTATATTTGTCTGCTTTGCTTTAGTTTTGCCTGAAGCCCAAACCGAAATAATGAGTGGAAAATTAGGAAGATCTCTCACGGTCCACTTAGTCACCAAGGAACAACCATCTGTCAATAAGAACAACATAACTATAACCTAATCCCGTCCAAATCCAATGTTATCCTGACCCGAGACTTCAATACCAATTTACTATTCCATCCTCTACTTATTCTTATCTAACAACCCTTCTTGATTCCCTTGTCCTTTATATAGTGCCAGATAATCCAAATCACCATACCCAATTCTAAGAGTCTTGGCTTGATCTGTTTATCCTAGATTCCTCAGACAAACTCCTTGCTGCATCTCAGCACCCGGTCCCATTCCTATCTTTCCATGGTCTTATCCAGATTACCTACAATATACTGGTCCCAATTTTCTCTCCCCAAACAATATCTTTCCAAAACCGCAATCTTGTAGTCCCTAATAATTCCCCATCAGAGTCTCTATCCTTGTCCAGAGGCGATCCCCAGGGGTTCTCCCACTCTTTTTTCCATCTATATCAAATGACCTTCCGTCCTCTATCCTGCTCTGTCAATATCATATGCTGATGATGTCCCAATTTACCTTTCCTTCAATCCGGATTCCACTGATTCTCTCACCTATTTCGTTACAAACTTCCATTAAAAACCTTGGTGTTATTTTTTATCAAACCCTCTCCTGGAAACCAGACATCTTCCAAATTTTCCGTCGTACTATTTCTATCCTAAAACAGTTCAACCGTCAACGTTATGTCCTTCTATACAAAACCCATCAAATCCTGGTTTCCTCTCTTGTTTTCCCCCACATTGACTATGGTTGCATGTGTACGGTGGACTCTTTGGAAAACTTAAACGAATGAATGAATTGCTCAATACATTTTGTCTTCAGAGCCTCAAGAGATACACATATTACCAAGTATTACAACGAATTGAAGCGCCTCTATCCATCCTACTGCCGTCAGTACTTCCTTGCTACCTTTCTATACCAGGCCATCAGAAGTCAGCGACCCTCCTATATTCTTCAGAGCCTACAATTCAAATCCTCCATTCAATTAAGTCCCACCAGATCCCGTACTTCTGACATTTATCCTCCTCCTCACTGAACTTCTGGGTTTGACAAATCCTTTGTAATTTAAGCCGTCTCCTTTTGGGATTCTATCCCTTCTGATATCCGACATGCACAATCAGCTCCTCATTTAAATCTCTCCTTTTTAAAGACCTACTCCTTTCCCAATCCGACTGATCACAAAATTACATAAGAGAACTTCTTAAGATCCCCCAGAAACCATGTTGTTTACTTATGTTATTTTATTTTTCTTTGTTTATTGTATATATATATATATATATATGTATGTATGTTTTTGTTTTTTAATTAGATATTATTTTGTAAAAATTTAATTTAATGTACGGTCACAGTCATTTTCTCAGTATTTATACTTTGTCCTAATGAGACAACAATCCCAGGATAATAAAAATATTTTCATTTCATTTCATACCTCAGTTTTGCCTTTTTGTCTTTAACTATTTTGACTTATCAAAAAAAAAATAATTTGTTTTTAAAATTATTTTGATATTATAATTCAACTGCTTTTTAACTTATCTTGATGAAAGAATCAGAAATTTAATGAGGGTCAGCTACTGGAGCCTTAAAATGGGTCTTTTTGCCAGTAACTGACAGGACTGTACAGGACCCTCATAAATTCAAAGAGTTCTACTTAATGTAATATGTCTTAAAAATGGAACATTTACTACTTTCTCATTAAAAAAAAAATTGTAAATAATTTGGATTAAATATATAGCAAAAACATGATTTTCCTATAGCCAAAAAAACTGGTTCTTGACAATGACAAACATTTATCAATAAATTTAAGTTTGGAAATGAAATAAAGTTAGTTTTATAATTAACTAAAGTTAATTTTTGTTAATATCTATTTAGAAATGAAGAACATAAAATTTCAACACTTTATTTTGCATAATTATATCCTTGCTCTCATCCAAGTCAGCTATAGGAACATTCCAAATCAAACAGTGGTCAGCTACTGGCGCAACAAAATTATTTTCAAAATTTACAATTTTGTAAGAATTTAGATGGATGTTCCATGGATTCAAATTGTATCTTGATAAGGTGAGAAGTAGTTCTATAAGATGAATCCAAGAAAAATACAGTAACATGAATATTTAAGATTTTACACGTAAAAGTTAAAAGAAATTTTCTTAAGCATTGGCCGGTATTTACGGTACTTACAATTTGTAATAGTAAAATATACAGTAAGGCTGAAAAAATACTTGAAAGATTAAACTGTCAAATTGCCTTGTATCAT